GGTCACTTATTTATTTTTATTTAATAAATTTAAGGTCAATTTTGAATGCAAATGTTCATTACCAAAGCAAAAATATCATCATAATAAATAATTTGGTGCTAAATTTTCACATTCCAATACTTGGAAAAAAAAAACCTTTTTGACTTGGACATCAATTTATTCCTATTGCTTCGTATTTGTATGTTTTTGAATCTGTGTGTTGATAGTTTGAGGTCATAATCCTACAGTAAAAGATCCATAAAAGCTTGAAAGATTTATCAATTTTATTGTTGTTTTAGATTCTTGACAGTGATGTTTAAAGACTGACACTTTTACCATCCAATAAAAACAAAACACTACATAAAAGGGGGATTACAGAAGTAAAAAGGGTGTTCTTGTAATATTTTTTATTTATAATATTAAAATAAATCAAACCAGAGGCATCCAAACCCTCCTGTACAGGGTTCCTGCAGATCCTTAAAAAGTCTTAAAAGCAATTGAATTTGTCAATCCAAAAATAAGGCCTTAATTAGTCTCAAAATGTCTTAAATCAATCTTTCAGAGGTCTTAAAAATGGTAACACATTTTAAGTAGGATGATTRTAAATTGTCTCAAATATTAAAATAATTGTTAACATTTTTTTGTATATGTATAATTTACACATTTTTTTCTCGTAGTTGTTCTGTGTTAAAATAAAGATTTGGGTAAAATTATCACCAACTTTTTTTTTTTCACATTTTTATTTATTGTGAATTGGGTCTTAAATTTAAATTCAAGTGGCATTAAAGAGGTCTTAAAAAGTCTTAAATATAACTTGCCTTAAGCCGTAGGAACCCTGCTGTAGAACCACGCTGACACATGAAAATACGTTTTTCACCAGAAATGAACAAATTACAAACATTAATTAGTGAAGAAGTTTCCTCGACTTTATCAAATTGTTATTCTGGGTTTTTCTGCATGAGTCACAGATCTTTATTGGATTTCTGAACAAGTTCAAACAAATTGTGAGTCGTTGTGGGCGTCTCAAACTCTTCTAAACTTTAGTTTTAAAGAGCTACAGCTGTAGTTTATTTTGTCTGTTTGCAAACACTCAGCACATTTTGTCCCAGATTTTGTTGAACGTTCCTGTAAAAGGGTCATTCCACGCGAAAATTTGCTCGTTGTCTCGCAATTCTGTATAAAATTGGTTTCCAATTGCTGCTCTGTGGATTACGTGCCTGTGGCATCAAATTTTAGCAATAAATATGAATTCATTTTTGTGAAGATAACACTGATAAAATGTAGAAAAAAAAACTTCACGTCATTGAGATGAAGAGATATTTGCATGTAAAGTAACAGGAAGTGACATCAAAGAGGAATGTCTGCATGTGAACAGAGTGTTGCTACAATAACTAACAACACAGACTGTAGAGAAGGAGCTGAAGTTTCTTTAGATTATTTTGAGTCACTATCAGAGAGATGAGAGTCATATAGTTCAAATAATATTGTTTCAATAAACAAAGACCAGAGAGTTTTCTTTCTTAAGGAGTTSCCCTTTGATGTCACTTCCTGTTTCACTTTTATTGAGCCAACTTCAAAAGAAAATAGTTATGTGATAAAACAGGTAACATTGTGTTTTATGCCAAGTTTATTAAATGTAAAAAATGTTTTCTTGTTGTATTTGAAGGACATGCATGTTGCAGACATATTAAAGTTGCTCTGAAGGATGAGTTTATTAATAGTGAGACAAGCTGACAATTCAGTCCTCCAATAAGTTAAGGCCTTATTGATTTGAATGAATGTCTTGAAAGCTGATTGGATGAACAGTGACAAATTATACAACCAAAACAAAAATATCAGTGTTTTCCACAGCATCTTCTGTACATCTTTAATCTGAATTAATGCTTTCCAGTCAGCTGTCTGGTCCTGAGCTTAGTGTTTTACCTGGAGTTTGACTCCGATCCATCCCCTATTTTCAGATGGAGCATCATGACATACGAGGTGCCCACCAGCAATAAAATCACGGCCATCATGAAGGAAGACGACAGCCACGATTCTCCTCTCCAGGTAAATTAGCCGGCGGGACTCCCGTCTGCTTTGTGACGGATCGTTTCTCTAAAAGCCGGGAGCCTGAAAGCTCAGAGACGACGGTTTTGTGCCTGGATTGATCCTGGCAGGTGGGAAGTCAAAGCAGTCAGACCTTAAASCACAGGGATTGGGGCAAATATTGATTAAGAGCAGCTCAGCAGGTGGAATGAAAGCAGAACTCAGAACTGACAGATGGGATTTCTATGTAAATTAGATCATTTTTTTACTGAACAGAAATTTAGACCAGATATTTGAATCTTGCTGTACGTGTTAGTAATAAACTCCTCAATCTGATTAGAAGTGATGCTGCTCCAGGTCACTAAAATCTTCAGATGCAATGACTTCTTTCTTCACTCATCTAACTAATTTAAAAAAATCTGTTTCCTGCATCTCTAAGGAAACAGAAACTTAAATTAGGATAAAATTATGGAAGTCTTTGTTTTAAAGCAAAAAAAAACAAAAAAAAAACATTTTTCTCACGTAGTGAGGTGTTTCTTTGTCCTGCTGTCAAAATAACTTTGGGTCGCCAGATGAGGAAAATCACACATCAGCTGGGAGCTCAGAGATAATTCCCTTTTAGACAAATTAAACTTATTTACACCTTTTTTTATTCAGTCAGTGTTTTCACAGTTTTGGATGGATTCATATCCTGTTGAATAAATTTGAAACTGCAGTAATTCCATCACAGATAAACCATACAGGTGACAGCTCAATTTAAATGGAATAAATGAAGCATAATTTAACCTATTCAGGGTTCCTGTTACTATGATGCTTCTTTATGTTTTATAACCTAACAATTAAAATGTAAAAACAGATAATCCTCCATTCTTTTTCTCTCAGGTTCACATCACTCAGTATGCAGACTCTGTGGCCTGTCACCTSGCTAAGATCCTGGACTCAGACAAACACAGTGACGTCATCTCCTCTGCCAAGTACGTGCCCCGAATGCCTCACAATATGAGATCAAGGAGAAAAAATATATATAGACAATRGGAAGAAACAAGTGAAGATTGAGAGGAGAGGAGGATGATAACAGAAGGAGGAGTCAGATAAAGAAAGGCGAGTCGGCGTCTGGTCAGCTTAGATTGATTYTCAGCTTTTAAGTAGAGCCGAGCTCTCACGTGTGTGAGTGAAAGAGACGGATGAGTCGGTGTGCAGGGGTCGTCCTCGCTGCATTAGTACATCATCGCTCCTCCTTTGGGAAAAGCTCGGCAGCCATTATGGAGCACGTCTGTTTACAGCACACACTCTGTGTGTGCTGTAAACAGACGGTGATCATTGTTCCAACCTGCAGCACGTCTGWAACACCCCGGGGACTTCAGGACACACGGTTCACAGCACGTGTTTCATATGGGATGATCTGCTTTTCTAAATGTTGATTTTAAATATTTTTTGTTTCAACACAGACTGCAATTTTAGGAGTTATTTGTAGAAAAACTGTTAAAAAAGCAGAATCCAATTCAAATTCAGTTTAAGAACATCATCAATTTTATTTATAAGACATATAATTCAGATTCTATTGTCATTCAAACATAACATCAGTGAGATATGTTCCCACATTTTTGTTTGTATCAAGTCAAGCTGCAGCATTCTGCAGCTTGAAGAAATTTATAGTTAGTACTGATTAAATACAACACAGAGTTAGGGTTTTCTACTTTATAATACCTTTATAATGTTTTATATTTCTTACAATGTGTTAATTGAAATAGGGTAGATANCATATTAGCACACAACATAAACATATAATGTAAATAAGAAGAGTTGAACAAATTGCTGTACAATAAATCCCAAAACATTAAAAGAATAATAAATGTGTAAAAAACAGAATAAGTTAAATACTAAATAACTTAAAATGCCAAAACCATTAAAGGTAATTAAACACGAAGGAAAATAAATGTGTCTAAAGCTGTTTTTAATAAAAAAGAGGCTCATTTGATGAACAGGCTGTTCCACAGCTTTGGGGCCAAGGCACCAGCTCCCTCGCTGACTAATCCAGAACACGGAGCATCCAAAGAGACCTTTTTAGATGATCTAAGTGATCCACAATTAGAATAAGGGCAAAGATGTTCAGATAAACGTAACAGTCATGCACAGCTTTAAAAATAAGATTATAAACCAGCTAAGAGAAAAGCAATAATTTGCTCAGGATTCTGTTGACGTGTCAACATAAATGGATTCAAATTCATCCGTATTTGTTCTATCATTTCATCACAGCCCCCAAGGTCCTACCCACATGGGGACTGTGTTTTAGGAGCCCCTAAAAATGGGTTTTTGGAAATCAAGTTCAAGAGTGAAAAAGTATTTAAACATCAAATCAGATTTATTTGTATTGCACATTTAAATCAACTGTTGTCAACTAAAAGAAAACTATCTTTAGATCTAATGGATCTGGAGGACACATATGACTGCAGGAGATCATCCTGCATCCTGATATTTTAGGTCAGCAATAAAACTTTAAAATCAATTTTAAAACAAACAGGTAGCCAGCACTGGGGAGATATGTTCCCACATTTTTGTTTGTATCGAGTCAAGCTGCAGCATTCTGAACTAATTGTGAGTTCAGCCTGACTAATACCAACATACAGAGAGCTACAATAATCCATTTGGAAGGTAATAAAAGCCCCATATTCAAAATCATTAAAGGATAAAAAAATGATTCCACTGTTGTTAGATAAAGTCTCAATAAAAACAAGGATCCGTTAACAAAAATTCAAATCAAATATCAAAACTTTTAACACAAGATTTTACAAATGGCTCCAGGCTGCACAGATCTGTTGATCTTTTCATTGGGACCAAAAACTGTCAGTTTTATTCTCAATAAAATGTAGAAAGTTTGAAGCCACCCAAGCTTTTACCTCAGTGAGGCAGTCRATTAGTGGTTTTAATGAAAAAAATAAATTCCACTACCACTGTAGGTAGATCTGAGTGTTGTCTGCATAGGAATAACTGGAGTCTGGGTGTGGGGAAATTAAATGGAAAATTAAATGGTTCCGAGAATACARCCTTGGGGTACTCCAAATGTGAGGTGGGTAGAGGAGGAAACAAACTTGAAYGAGTCCAGAGCAGAGCCTTTGATACCACATTTGTCCAGCCTAGAGATCAGAATACTGTAGTCAGCTGGTCTAAAAGCAACCCTTAGTTTCTGTGTACATGGCTTGAACACAACCTTTTGAAAACAGTGTCAAAGTATAGATTAGAGTGAAATATGCAGWATCAGAGTTTTGTGTGTTGCTTCATGATTCTCTTGTTATTATCTCCACTGAAACAAATGTGAGGATGTTTCAGCAGCAGGAGGATTAGAAGGTTTCATTTAAACATTGAGACTTTTTATTAACTAAATAGGTTCACAGTGACTCAGAAAAATAAAAGCCAGAGCTGTGCTTCACTCATCTAATTTGCCTACCACCACCTATTAATAAAAAAATRATTATTCAAATACCTGTAAATCTAAATGGGTTTAGAAACCCTCTTTAGAGTGAGCTGCACAGGAGGACACATCTTTTAAAGCTTAAAAAGTGAGTGTTTCTCCAGCTCTAATTATCTAAGATGATGTAATACAATCAGTGAGAGTCTGGAGCTGCCTCCCTGCTGAGTCACTCAGCGGTAATGTAACAGCTGGAAGTAAACACCGTGTGGAAGTAAGTGTGTGTGGAGAGGGAGGGGGGCACTGATAGGCAGGTAGTCAGCAGTGAAACATGTGTGTGTGAGTCACCCAACACTTGTGTTAGAAAGCATAAATCATCTGTTTGAATCAGAGTGTTAATCGTGTTAAACCCCCTCCTCTCCTCCCGCTGGCAGGTTTCTGTGTGGGACTGTGAACGACTTTGTGGCGGAGGTGGGGAAGGCGTACGAGAGAGCCACAGAGAACAAGGAGGAGGCCGACGCCATGGCGAAGAAGGTAAAACAGGTCGGCATGTGTGTTGTGTAAGCACTTGTGTAACCAGTGGACAGGTGGAGGTGTGTGAGTAGGTGTGTGTATTAATAATTCCGTGAGCACACAGTTTCACCAAAAAAGGAAAGTTTCAACACTTCTCTTTAGGGAAGCGTTGCAAAAAACTTTGTTTTTATACCATCCAAATGTTCTCTGCTTTAGCACCTTCAGTGCAGCCTGGAGTTCTCCTGTAGGGAATAACAGTTTTTCTGTCAGCATAACTGTGGAATATGAAACTGATAGTGGTATAAAAAGTGTATGAAATGGCATAAAATCTCAGATGTTGGAGTTATTTTAACAGTGGTTCTCAACCCTGGTCCTCGAGGAACACTATCCTATTCTGGATGTGACTAACAAGCTTCTGAAGAATTTGAAGATCTACTGAAGAGCAGGGAAACATCTAAAACATGTAGGATATAGTTCCTTGAGGACCGGGGTTGGGAACCCCTGGTTTTAGGACAACAGAAACCCATTTGAAGCCCGATTTATAGTCAACATCTTGCTGATAGGGGTACCTGATGAGAATTGCTTAGTTTGCTACTCTCACCACCCGCTGAAACTTGTGCGTTGTCCTCAGTCAGAACTAGGAAACTTGTGCGTTGTCCTCAGTCAGAACTAGGTCTACTAGAACTATGCAAATATCGGATCTCTTACAAGCATCTGCTGAAATTCTGCTGGAAAAGTCATAGGAAAATACAGACAACTGTTACAGTTTGTATTTTGAGCTCTGAGTGAACACCGAACAACGTCAAAGTTTTAACAAGTTTGTTAGAATTTTCAGCTGGAAGGTTGGAACCAGACTTCAGGGTCATCAGTTCTGGACACAGAAGCTTTGGGTTAGGTTGAGTCGTGAGTCACTAACCTTTCCTGCTGAGTTGACGTCCGGGTTGAAACAACAGATGTGTTTTGGTTCCGGGCTGTGTTGTCACGGGGAGCAAATGTATCGCTGGACTTACTCAGGGTCAGAAACGGGGCAAGGTCATACACAGGTGGTCAGAGGAAGTTACCAGGTTTGAAGGAGATGACTGAGTCATTGGTCCAGAGAGGCGTTCAGGGGTCGAGATCCAGGAGGTCCGATGTGGCGCGGTTCCGTTCAGGGAGCAGGCAAGTGACAAAATTTCAAGAGACAGAAAAAGGGTTGTTACTGTGAGAGCAGATGGCAGGCGGGATCCGACAGGGGCTGAGGCAGGAGACGTTAAACCAGGAGACATGAGCAAGGTCGGGGACATGAGGCAAGAGCTGGACAAGGGACAAGAATGCTGGAAGATCATAGGCGAGACTGATGATAATCTGGCAATGAACTGGAGAGTGAGACTGGATTATACTGTATACTGCTGGAAACAGGTGAGTGAAATGAGCTTGATTAGAGTTTCTATGACGGGAGGGGCGAGAGCAATGAGCAGGAGCTGGATGTGAGCTGTAAGGCTGGGAACAAGACTATGAGGATAAACTGGAACATGAAATAAGATAATAAAACTAAAGTGAGGCATGATCTGAGCAGACAGGGACAGAATCATACCAACATTACAACTGTTACTGGAAAAATGATAAAGAAAGCCAATTAAAACTTATAAAGATAGTAACAGAACTCATGGAAGTAGACTAGACATTTTTGTGCATCCAGGTGACAGTACGGAGAACCGGCATCTTGGCCAGGCAGAGTAGAGACATGTTCCCCCACCGTCTGTTAAATGATGGTGGCCTCTTTCTGACAAATTAATTAACAAGCATTTCTCTTTGTTTCATAACAAATACCAGAACTTTATGCTCCAGCTCCGCCGTAAACTGAGAATAAACCTCCACTCTGAAAACCAGTCTGATTCTTTGTAGCTGGCAGGCTCTTTGTGAATTGTGATCAATAAAAGTCCGAATTAACTGCAAGAAACTGATTCAGCTCCCAGACTTGAACATTTATTTGCATAACCTTCAATTCCTAATGTTCAAATGTCTCAATGTTTTGTGCAGTTTGCATGGCTTCGACTCAGTGATCCTGGATGTAGCAYTAGCTTAGCTTAGCATGTGCCGATCATAGAAGAGAAAAAAATTTAACAAATACAGAGGTCACAGGTTTTTCCAACACAGACAACCAGAAATGTGTTCAGTCAGTAGAAATAAAGGTGCTCTGAGCCAAATAGGCCACTGTTGGACAGTATAATAGTATGTCCTGGTGATGATGGACTYTCATCACGTCGGGGTCACCAATTGTTAAAAATGTGTTAGATTGAAAGCCTGAATTAATGCAGGAAATCAGTTCTGTTATCAAACTTGAATCTTTATTTTCAGGCATGAAAAGTTTACCACTCACTCAGAGCCCCCCTCACCCAGTTTTGCATTTTCCATTGTGCTTCTGTAAAATTGCCCTGAGCTTACATGTCCTTACAATGTTTATTTAAAACTTAGTCACACCTCCTGGGGGTGGTTCCTCTTACATCAGCATTGGAATGATGTTTTCTTGAGGAATGTGTTAAAGACCTATTGATTCTCTAACTACCTAAAGCAAATACAATCGATGACAAAGTATAAAATATAAGTATGTATCTGAAATTCTGGTAATCCATCAAGAAGCATGTTTTCATTTCAGACTGGGTTTAAGTTGTATTGCAGCCACACTGAAGGATTTCGACGTTCTGTGCTGCTCCTACCTCTAAATGTACTTTTTGTTCATGTGATTCTCAGGCGACCAGAAGACACAGTATAAACATTGAAAATATATTTATTTTCATCCCTCTTTCTCTACCTGTTCTCCCAGTGTGCACTGCTGAATGAGAAACTCGACTCCCTGGTCAAGGCCTTAAGTGAGGAGGCAGAGGCGCAGGTAAATATCAGCATAAGGTATTATCAGGAGAAAAATTATGATTGTTGTAAACAAAATGTTTTGTCTATAATGTTCAATACCAACCTGGGAGTCAGGAAATATCTTTACAGAGCGTTTGAATGAACCAGAAGGATGAACACAATAACCATATTTAGTCAATGGAAATATTTCCTCTTCTTACATGTTTTTATTGCTCTTTCCCAGCTCTGGGTGAGAATACTAAACGTGCATTAAAAGCTCAACAACACATCATCATTTTAGCTTTTCTGATCCCCCGTGCATTTTGTTTTTCTTCTTCACAGATTGATTTAGATACAGGAGTAAAGTTAACAGCAGAGCCCTGAAAATGTCAGTAGCTTTAAGTTGCTGCTCACTGAAATTGAAAGTGAAAAAAAATCCCTCCTCCTGCGGCTCTGCCTGTAAATTAATATTAAGTGCTGCCTCTTTTGTCAAGGAGATGAGAGATGTTTCAGCAATAAAGCAGGAAGTTAAACACAGACTTGTTGGGGTTTTAATGCTGCTCGGCTCTTAAAATGTAATAGATCTACAAGAAAGGGTAACATGGCCACCTAATATGTAAATTACCTGTATATTTTATGCAATTGGTAGTGAAAGTATCCCCCCTTGTTTTATTTCTGTTATGTAGCTTTATAGTCTGGAATTCAATGGATTTTAAACTGGATTGTAAATAATGATCCTACACAGTATACTTCAAATGAAGTCAAATGGGAAAAAAACAAAAGTTTTTTAAACATAATTCTAAAAAAAGGGTATAAAATAGAAAAGTGATGTGAGCATGTAACCCACCACCACCGCCCCACACCCCTCATAGCTTTGAAGCTCTAATCATTAACTTCAGAATGCAGGTTATTAGATAAACAAGATCCACCTGAGAGCAGTTTGTGTCAGATGATCTCAGCATATATAAACATGTACTGACAGTACAACAACAGAATAACATCTCTAAATACTGCAGGCTACCACCAAGTAAGAGACATCATGAAGACCAAGACACTATCAGGCCCATTATTAGATGAAAACACAATTGCTTGTCTGCTTCCATGTAGCATTCAGAGTATGTGTTGGCTACTACCTAGGGTTGGGCTTAATCGTATCGTGTGCAATTAATCGTCAGAAAAACATTAATCGATTATTTTAATATGATTAATGCCACCAGGGAGACTGACTGGAKATTTCCCCKGTCAGTCCGCTTGGTGCTCCTTTCCGCTTCAAATCTGACGAACATTTAAACAAAAGTTCTGTTATTTATTTATCTATCAACACAACTTAAAATGTAAAGTATAGCCTGAAGTCTGATTTTGACACAATTTGGAAAAGTTTTTTTACGAAGAGCAAATCTTTCCCACTAAATAGGTCATGTGACTAGGACATAAGGGCGTCCAGGGACTCCAGAGGATTAATCGTCAAAGTAATTGTTGTCGGCTAAATACCACAATTAATAGTGATTAATTCTTTTGCCAATATCGCCCAACCCTACTACTACCTTACCAAATTTTAGCTCAATATCAGTAGTATTGACTGAGTTTATCTTGTTTCCTTGGGTTGATTATCTCTGAAGGCCATCTTGGATCAAGTTGACCTTAAAAGTTAATCAGTTCTAAATGTACAGCCAATGATTACTTTATGAGATTTTATATATATAGTTCATCCAGTAGTTCATGTGATACTTGGCCAACAATCTTTCTGTATCTTTTTCCACTCTCTCTCTCACACACACAGACATCTATAACAGCTTTCACAGTGGAGGGCCATAAAAATAGAAAGATTATGGCTCCACAACAAACCTACCTTGAAAGGTTTGTCCACTAAAACACATGGACCGAGCAAAGAGGGCAATAAAGACTATCCAGGAGTCTAAATATAACCCTGGTGGAGCTGGGCAGCTCTTCTGCAGAGATGGGAGGTTCTGTCTGTGGGACCACTAACAGCTGAACAGAGCTGGGCTTCATGGAAGAAAGGCCAGGAAAAAAACGTTTTAATAACAAAGGTAGACAGTTTGGAATTTGTAAGAATTGATATCGGAGACTCCCCAAACATGTGAAAGAGGCTACTGTTCTGATATGAGGCTAAAACCAGTGTACCTCTTGGCATAATGAGAACACCGTCTCCACACTGAAGCCTGGGGGTGGCCGCATCATGCTGTGCGGATGGTAAAACTGCTCAGAGTTAAGACTGGTTTGTACTCAATGTGAAGTCGATTGGGTTTCACTAAATGGTTCAGTGACAAAAATTGCATCTTTTGCTTCTCGCTACTTTAGACCTTGTGCATATCCCCCCAATCAGAATTTGTTCTTACAGGAAATGTGCCAAGTATACTGTGATTGGTCAGAACTTTGTGTCTATAGTACATTAGTGTCATTTCACTTCAGCTAAGGACCAGCTGGCTGAGGCTAGTTGTCTCTACAATTGTTCCAGCAAAACGTACATTTTCACAAGAGCGACTCTCACAACCCGATCCATCATTTGCAATATGTTGGATAAATTAATAATCAATTCACAAGGAGTGACGAACAAGCAGCAGATCTGGTTGAGCTCTGTTTTACTTGCAGCAAGGAATCCATATACAGACAAGGTACATTACATACAATGTCAGTAGCATGAACTGAATTTCTGTACAGCTGTCAGGCTTTTAAAGGGCCCCCTTCAAAGTGTCGTCCTGTTTACGACCATGTAATCTCCTGTTGTTCCCAGGAACTCCAGTTCCTTTACCCCAACCCACCAGTCAAACAGCGGGTCGTAAAAGTAACTCTACAAGCTAAATAAACAAATTACAAACATAAGCATTCACATCTGTGTTTTTACACACAACATTCCCATGAATTCAGTTAAAATAGATAAACACAGATCAACAACATTAAAATATCACAGAATTAGATGAACCATAATATTTTAAATCACATTTTAACCAACACAATAAAACACTACCACGTCTTCATTGTTGTGTTGCATATCTTTTCAGGGTCTTCTTCTACTATGTTTAATGATGGCAAATAGCTTAATGGAGCAGAACCACCACCAGCTGGTAAGGAGCGGGGTGTCAATTTTTGGACTCTGGTGCCGCCCAACTTTACAATGAAGCCACCCACTAGAACTGTTACTGAAGTGTACTGGAAAACCACCTGAACCGTGCTGTAGAGGTGCTAGTGGAAACTGGCCATAGATGACAAACATAAATTATCACTTCTCCTTGATTACCAACAAAGATACCAAATCTTCCTCCTTCAACTCCTCCATCATCAAATCCTCATATGTTGACACATGATGCAGTGGGAGGACTTACCAGGACTTCTTCCCCACAGTTTCTCATTCAGTATGAAATGTTCACGTGAAAAAAAAGTCTTACAACCTCATCAGTGAGATCAGATGTCTCTCATATTTTTTGTTTTGCTTCACAAAAAATATTTTACGTCTTAAAATTGGCATTTATGTTGGATAAATTAAACATACAAACATTCTAAATTTTATTATGTATTCTAGGTTATAAGATACCAAAACCACAAGAATATTGAAGAGGGTGAATACTTTTGCAACCCTCTGTATGTTTGGCATCGTATCGATACCTCTGTACTGTGGTTTTATCCAGGTGGTACCAGCAGGTTCAGCTCCGAGCCAGGACGGTTCGAGTCCAGGTGAAAGTGGAGGCGAGTCGGGTTCAGAAGGCAAAACGTATCGATCCAAGGAGCAGCTGATGCTCAGAGCCAACAGCCTGAAGAAAGCTCTGAGGCAGATCATTGAGCAGGCTGAGAAAGGTACAGTGCAGCCAGCTGGGCACTTTGATTTCCTCCAATGTTCACTCCACTGACTCGAGTGTTGTTCCAGTGGTGGACGAGCAGAACCGACACACGCAGGTTCAGAGGATGTCGTCATCATCCTCCTTTAAAAGGGAGAACAGCGATGAGCTGAAGGACGCTGAGCCACGTAAGTAATGCTTCACATTTGACGGCGTTTGAATATTTGAAAACTTGAACAACCAGATTTGGTTAGAGACGGCTTTAAGGCGACTCCCATCACCACCACAGAATGAACAGTTGAGCTGATTCTGTTCAGGTCCAGGAGGTCTGAGTCCCACGTCCCCCATCGTCTTGGAGAAACCAGAGAGTCTCAACACCGTCTCCTTCAGCGARGACTCTGTGTAAGTCCATGTGTTCCTTCATAACAGAGCTGTGCATGTGTGCATCGTCATGCATAATGAACAGTTTGTGTGTATCTGCAGACAATGTACAGAGAAGTGTGTGATGAATAATTACTTCGGCATCGGCCTGGACGCCAAAATCTCCCTGGAGTTCAACAACAAGAGAGATGAGCACCCCAAGAAGTGCAGGTATGATGACAGACACATTAAMCTGGATTCATGCTGATTATTGGTTTGCTCCATTTCTACAGTCGCTGGTATAACTTTATAACTTTTGAAGAGTCTATCACAAAATGTTTAATTTAATCTAATGATGAAACACTGACTTTGGAATCGTCTATGCTAAGTGCATAATTCTTCCCAAACTCATACAGATTAAACTTTAAGGAAAGTTAATTTACAGTTGTTTACAACTTTAGATGTGAAGTTACAGAAAAGTCTTTTTAAATTTCTAATTCTTAGAAGCAGAGCTGCCCAAAGTGGGGCCCACCAAGCCTTTTGATTTGGCCCACCAGCAGTTGTCCTKCTTACTAGTTGTAATCTCCTGTTTTATGTAGAAACACTGTATTTCCACTTAGTCTTTTCAACYATTTGTCTAACTATACGTACAAGGAGCTGTAGTCAGTCTTAACTCGTGGTACTCACTTTATCTTTGAATTATGTTAAAATTAAATATAAAATACAAGTACTTACAAGAGACATTTAGATTTAAGCCCATATCTAGATTTGCACATCTTACAAGACCACATATACTCAAATTTAAAATTATGAAAAGTCCCATAAGTCTTTGCTGCCCGAGCATACGTTGAATTTTCTCCATGTTGATGGGCTGAAAAACAAACAAACAAAAGAATGTGGGCAACCGTGGCTCCTCCTCTGTGTCCTGTTTTACGTTAATARCCTTGTTTTTATCTTCTGATCAATAAAGTTTGAACCTGTTGAATCAAAAGCCTGATTCAGTTCAATTCACAACACACGTCATCTCAGGGCAGCAGCAAAGTGAGGATATCTGGTCTTATTGTCTACATCTGCAGTAGTCGCACTAAGAACATGATGTGGTACGGGGTTCTGGGGACCAAAGAACTGGTCCAGAAGACGTACAAGAACCTGGAGCAGAGAGTTCAACTTGAGGTCAGATTCTCACTGTTTTAAAAAAATCCTTTTTAAATAAAACAGAAGAGTCAGCTGATCTGATACCTCTTCCTCGTGTCTCCGCAGTGTGACGGGGTTTCCATCTCCCTGCCGAGTCTGCAGGGGCTGGCTGTTCTCAACATCCCCAGCTACGCCGGCGGGATCAACTTTTGGGGCGGCACCAAGGAGGACAACGTCAGTGATGATCCAGAGCTTTCAACTGAAATGTAAAACTTATTGTTTGTTGACTTTTGTTTTCTCGTCGCCTCAGAACTTTGGCGCTCCGTCGTTCGACGATAAGAAGCTGGAGGTGGTGGCGGTGTTCGGCAGCATGCAGATGGCCATGTCTAGAGTCATCAACCTGCAGCACCACCGCATCGCACAGGTAACACGCACACCCACGCACACACACACTGTGGAATGCCTCCTTTCAAAGCTGATTAGTTGAGTCAGAGCAGGCTGAGCATTTCATGTCTACAACTGTGGAAATGAGTGAAAACTAAACCATTTGTTGTACTCAGCTCAGGCAGTGTTTAATAAAAACAACTGCAGAATCTGTTAGGAGTATTAACTCAGTGCAGTTTTCCTTTTTATGTTATTTCAGGTACAATAATAACTGTGTTTAGTTGTAAGTAATGATGTGCTCCTGTGTGATGTGTGGTGTATAAAGCTGCATTTTTAATATTTGCTAAAGAAAATCAACAAGAATATTTAAAAAAGACATTAAAATACATCAAACGAAACATTACAGTTAGGGGAGCACTGATTTATTTTCCACAATTACCTTGATTTTGGGAGATCTGTGATTGACAGTCTGAAAATCAGCCACTGCCCCCTTTTGCTCTGCTGTAAAACAGATTTGTATTGTTTCAATGGTATTATTCAGTGTTTTTCAATAAAACACAATTGGGACATTAAAGGTGTATGATGTACCTTTATAACACCTGACAGTGTCAGCTATTTAAAAATTATGTATCGGACAAAATCAGGCTTTTTAAAGATCTGTGATCAAACAGAAAACTACAATCGATGCAGTTACAACAACAGAGGAGTTTAAATGGTTTGTGATCAGATAAAACAGGAACTAAATGAGCAAAATGAGTTTCATGCTGCGAGCAGTCAGTTCATATGGAAGAACTTCAGCAAGTTAAAAATGGAGAAAATATAAAGTGTAATGAGGTCATATTTGACTGTGTTATAACAGATTTATGTATTCCAGGCCAGGACTCTGGCAGAACCTCTGACAGCTGTTTTTTCCTTTTGTTCTCAGTGTCGACAGGTGAAGATCACCATCCTGGGGGACGAGGGGGTTCCTGTGCAGGTGGATGGAGAGGCCTGGATCCAGCCTCCCGGCATCGTCAAGATCGTCCACAAGAACCGGGCTCAGATGCTCACCAGAGACCGGGTAAGATCCAACTCCGACCGGAGCTGTTTACTGTTCTTATACACCGGATGTCTGCAGAGGAGACAGAAAAGGGAGTCCTGCTTGAAAGTATTTGTTTTTACTCCACAAATGTGGCAGCTGAAAAGCCACTCATCTTCCCCKCCGCAGCTCTCTGCTCGTGTTGTTGACTCTTTCTATTTTGGGACTTCTTAAATCMAATCCATCCCCTCGGTGTGTGTTTGCTCTCCTTTCATGCTGCTCGAACCTCTGAGAGCTCTCCCAGTCYAGCCCATTAGTCCAGTTTGTTTCCATGGTTTCCCTCCTCCAACACAAGAGTGGAAGCTGTTGGTTCACCGGGTTTATCCTCTTAACCGTAACCCGGACTCAAATATCCACTAAACACACTGTTCCTACCGAGAGTTTACAGGCTTTATGTTCGKACACGACTTTTAGCTGACTCAGCCACTTTAGACTTAGAACATAAAATTACAAGCACAAAAAACTAATACATAAAACCAATTTACTAGGAAATATATAAAATATTAATTAAATGGAAC